CAGATGGATATGAGAGCATCTCATCTAAGGGGACTTTCATTCCAACTCACCAAATACACCTACTTATTGATCCAAATGAAGTGTGAAGCGTTGCTCTTTGCTGAGCTGGGGTGGTCAGTAAGATAGCTAGAAAGTGACTGACTACCTGCTCTTCTTGTGAGTGAAGAAGCCTTGTTGTCTGAGGGTTCACACCTTGCTTCTTATTGGTCTGTGAAAGTTGATATTATGTTTGGGAAAGCATCTTTCATCCACTTCATCTTTCACTCCTAGACTTACCAATTTGGGGGTAGCTGAATGTGTCCTTATTGAAGGTTAAGTTCTGTATCTCCTTTTGTTAGATATGCTTGTTTTGAATAAAACATACTTTAAAGGTTACTAGTGCCATTCTAAGCTCTCTCCTATCAAGTTTCATGCATCTCTAGGAGGATTCTTTTTTTTTGGGGGGGGGGACAATAATAAAAACTATAACATTTATATAATGGGAATTCCAGAGAAAGAAATAAAGTAAAAGAAATATTTGCAGACTAGATGAAATAATAAAAAGAATTTATCAAATAAGTAGATCAAAGCACAAGAGGAAAAACCAAGGGTCTAAATCAAAGACACTCTTTAATTTTTATTTTGTGTATGATCTATGCTTTTTTTTTTTGGCATAGAAGGACTGGGGTATAGGCCAGAGGTGTGGGGCGGGGAAAGAATTCACCAGAGACAGAGTGGGGACAGAGTGGGGAGCAGAACAGTGGATCTACTAAAATACACTGCTAAGAGGAGCAGCAGGCAAGACAGGAGAGGTCTGCTATGCTATGTGGGTCACCTCTCTGGCCGGGGATTGAACTCAGGCTGTTGAGGTGATAGCACTGAGACTTAATTACCCACTTGGCCTCCAGGGAGGGCTGAGAGGCACTTTTTTTTAAAATAACAGTTTATTTTTACATCATTTTGTACATATTTTTTTCCATCTCAATTGTAATCCCCGCGGGTTTTCCATCACCGAGTCACCCATGTGCCGTCACCATAATCCCGTGCACTTCCCTCGCCCCCCCCCCGGGGTTTTTTATCCCATTCCCCTCCCCACTCCACCCCCGCAAAATGTCTCTGGTATATGGTTGTTCATTATCCTTGTTATTTTCTCGCCTGGTCCATTATACTCCTGCTATGAGTGAAACCATCCAGTATTTTTCTTTCTCTTTCTGGCTTATCTCACTAAGCACGATCTTTTCCAGCTCCATCCAAGTTACTGCAAAAGACATGTGTTTCTCTTTTTTGGTTTCTGAGTAATATTCCATTGTATATATGTACCACATCTTTTTAATAGGAGGATTCTTTTACCATGCTTTACCTGTATTTTCATTCTACTTATTGGCCCTCTCCTATACCCCACCATACTATCTTATCTCTGGGAGGTGTTGACAGGTGATCTAAGTTTTTATTATTTTGGTGTCAAACAGCCGTGAATAACAGAGTAATATACTGATCCTCTACTCAGCACCTGAAACTGTCTAGGATCAACTTATAACTAAAAAAGTAGTAAAAGCCTCTGAAGACACAAAGAAAAATCTGCCACCTAGCCAGTTTATTCTTACCTGCGTCACAGGTGTAACAATCATCACCGCCCTGTTAGCAGCACCAAGACAGAAGCAGGTACCTTGATAACTGTAAGGAGGGCCCTCTTCCCGTTTAAAGCGAAAAGAAAACACTAGTGGCCATTTGGTTTGGGAGCACACATATAAAATAATTCTTGGCAATCTCTAGTGGCATGAACATCTTGGAGTTCAACACAAAACTGTCCTTGATGACAATATCTTTAAGTCACAAAGAGAAGGCTAGATGTTCTCTGTACTTCTCTCCTTTAGGAGAAAGAGTGGCTAATGCAGTTTCGAAAGTTTTTTCTTTTTTATCAGATTGAATGGAAAGAAACATTTTGATGGTTCAAGGGAACAAGTTTCAGTCTCTCAAACCCTGACTCTCCTGGCCTGGTGCCCTCCCTGACAGCACTGAGGTGGTGATGTCACATCACCCAGATGGCTGTCAGACTGGGGCATATCCAGCTCTCCTTCGTAACCAGCCTGAATTCCGCTTCTGCTTCTGGCCATCAGACAGGGAAGTCTCACACATGACTCGGGGCTCAGTGCTTACTCAGCGCCTGCTATCTCTCTTCCATGCTGCGCTTGCCAACTGCCATCCCCAGGCTCCTGCTCCCCAGTCTATAAGATGTGTTATTCTGGGTAGACTTCACTTTACAAATCCATCTGAAACTAATCCTGTGGACTGAAAGAAAAAGAAGTGGTACATACAAAAGTTCTATAGGTGAAATGACAGTAATGCTTGGAATGTTGTCTTTAGATTTGTTTTTAAATAATCCATCAGCCAAACTTCCAGTTACAAGATAAATAAGCCCAAGGGACATATGTACAGCACAGTGACTGTAGCTAACCCTGTTGGGCGATGTATAGGTTTTCTCCTCTATGCAAAACTGAACTATGAAAATCACCATAAGTCAAAATGGCATATACAGCAAGAAACAAATACATGTCATTTATGTGGAAAAATCTTTTGGGTATTTCCAGACGCAAAGAGTAACCCACCAAGTCAGACCCAATAACACATAAAACCTGAAACAACACTGGTATATGGTAAAAGCAGGCATGTCCCGGCAAGGGAGCCAGGCAGTGCGAGCTGATGCTGGAACAACTTGCTGTAAAGCAACAATCCCTCTTTCATGATTGTCTTTTGTCATAAATATGAAAATTCTCTTTAGTTAGCAAAACAGGTACTACTTAGGTCTCACATAAAAATGAAGCCACTCAACACAAACTTTAGAAAAGTAGGAGATACCTGTATCGAATAGATAGAGTAAATCCTAAGAGTTCTTATCACAGGAGAATATTTTTTCATTTCTGTTCTTATTGTATTATTTGAATAGATTCATTGAACTAAACATGTATGTGTGTGTGTGTGTATAAAAATCATCCCATCATGCGACATGCCTTAGACTTGGAGAGTGATGTATCTTATTTATTTCTCAACAAAAATGGAAAAGAGCAGAAAAGAATTCATCGGGTTGGGCAAGGGAGGCACAGCAGAAGCAGATGCCTAAAGGCAACTGTTGGATGTCTAGTGGGACACATCATGTCATGGGGCCTCTCTGTGCGTGATAGAAAATGTCTATTAAAAAGCTACAAAACAGGTGGCCCTCCCTGATGGCGCAGCGGGGTAAAGCACAGCACTGAGAATCTAAAGCCGCTTCCGCATGAGTTCGATTCTCGCCTGCCCTGGAGGGTGACCACATGGCGCGGCAGACCTCTCCTGACCCGCCCGCTGCTCCCCTCAGCAGTGTACTTCATCCATCTGCCTGTTCTTTTCCCCACTCTGTCTCTGGTGAAGCCTCTCGCCGCCCCTGAGCCTTTGGCCTGTACCCCAGTTCTGTATACACAAATAAATAATAAATCTTTAAAAAAAAAAAAAAGCTACAAAACAGGGCCCTCCCTTGTAGCGCAGTGTGTTAAATCACTAATAGACAAATATCCCCCATGTCTGTATCTTTTGGTCATGTCTTTACTGTGCATTTTGAGGACCCCTTAAAAGATGAAAAGTGGGGCCTTCCCTGGTGGTGCAGCTGGTTTAAGCACAGCACTAAACTAAGAAGCTAAAGCCACTTCAGCATGAGTTCGAACCCTGGCCTCCCAGGAGCTGACCCACATGGCGTTGCAGACCTCTCCTGACCTGCCCGCTGCTCCCCTCAGCAGTGTACTTTGAGGATCTGCCTGTTCTGCTCCCCACTCTGTCTCTGGTGAATCCTCTCACTGCCCTTGCACCTCTGGCCTGTACCCCAGTTCTGTATGCACAAATAAATAAATTAAAAAAAAAACTACAAAAGAAAATTGACGATGCCATACAAACTAATTGAATGTTCCTACTTCCATTCTCATCTTCATATGATGCTGGGGAGAGAGTACACATTCACTTTGCCATCACTTAAATTGTTTCCTCAGTAACTTTAGAAACACAACATCTGAGAATTATTAAAAACAAAACCAAAAACCTCTCAAGCATATCTGCTTTTGCTAACCAATATAATTCATGGTGTAGATTGTTCAGAACAGATTTAAAAGGTCAACATCAAGATGACATGACAAAAAGCCAAGGTGAAGTCCTACTTTACCTTGGAAAGTTCTCATACCTACGCCCACACATATAATACCTTTATAATCAGAATGCTGGCGAGGTGAGTGGCCAAGTTTGAAGCTATATTCTGTGCCTTTGGGGACATGAATCTTAAGGAACTTGGCTCTCTTTGTTAAGAATTCCTTATCTTCTCTTCATTTGGCTCATCTTTTCTTCCCCTTCTTTCTATATCCTCTCCTTCCCTCCCTCACTTCATTCTTTCTTTTAGACCACCACTACCATCACAAAAACACATAGCATGTCATGCCAGAGCCTCAAAGTTATTGGAAAGATTAAGATCAAGTGTAGGTGAAAAGGGGAAATTTTAAATTGATGAGAATAACTTTGATTTTAATATTTTATATTATGGACATTTTCAAACATATAAATGTTTTTCTAGTACAATGAACCTTATGCACCTGTCACCCAGCTTCAGTCGATATTCACACATAACCCATCTCTTTTCATTTGTCCTTCCCACTCCCAGACACCTTTCCACCCCTCCACAGATTACTTTAAACCAAGTCCAAGGTATTATATTATTTCATCTGTAAATACTTAAACAGGATCACTAAGAGATAGTCTGTCTTTTTCTAAACCATAATCATTTCTAAAAATGACAACAAATATAAAATATTCTGGCAGTGCTTGAATTTCCCTGATTATCCCCAATTTCTTTTTTTCCCTTCATTTATTCAAGTCAAGATCAAAATAAAATCCACATACTTTGTTCAGTTAAAATTTCCTTTGTTTTTTTCTAGTCTACAAGTCTCCTTACTCTCTTTTTCCTTTTTTGCTTCTTATTTATTGAAGACACTGTGTTCTCTGTCTTACAGAATTTTCAACATTCTGGATTTTGCTGATCGCATCCTCAAGATATTGTCTACCTCTATTACTAGTAGATCCTGAAAACTGGTAGTTATACCTGGAGTCATCATTGTAGTCGTATTAAAGACTTCAAGGACTGACAATTTCTATGGATGACATCTTACCTGAATGAGTAAGGTGGATCTCAAACTCTTCTGAGGCAATGAAAGAGAGGATAACTATTTTGCGATAATGTCAAGTCTAGTCCCTGTTCACTTAAAAAAAAAAAAAAATGTCTGCCTGAAAACCATCCTTAGCTCCATCGTGATTGTCAGCGCCAGTGGGTTGGACCTCCCCTCTGTACACGACATTGAACGAGGACAGGTGGAAAGACATGAACTTGGAAGTCAGACCGTCCTGGACTTGAGTTCTGACTTTGTCTTTGTGTAAGTACACACCTTCTCTAGCTGCTTCACATTTTTGACCTCAGATTCTTTGCATATGGAAACACTGTCTATCCCACCAGGCTATTGACATGCACCTGCCATTTATTGTGTGTTTGATAATTGCTGTTTCTTTCCCAGCACAGTTTCAAAATGAGAATTTGTGTTGAAAACTGCAAATCTGTAGAGCTCATTTAGACCTTAACGCAAGTATGCATTCACCAGCTTCATAAACAATAGAGCAAGTTTTCAAGTTGTCAGTAAAAAAGGACATGCAGAGTGGGGGAGGAAAATGAGAACAGGATATACTGCTCTTCTTCCATCCTTGTACTCAGAAACTCAGGAAATTCTTTCCAAAGAAAGCATGACCCATTTCAGTCTAAAAATGTGCTATTCTTTGGACTGTGCTGGCTTGAGAGCATATTTCTTTTTACCAAAAGATGAGTTCACAGTAAATGACTCAGAAACATATGGATGAAATTTCCCTTAAGCCACTCAGGGGATTAGAAATTAAGGGAAAGAGTGCTTGGCAAAATGCATTTGGGGTTTTGCCAAACCGAAACCAACTGAGAAATAGTTAAGACACAAGGCAGATCTCAAATGCTGCCAAGTTTACCCATCTTAGCGGGACAGGGATTTATAATTAGAGCTGCTCAGAAAAGCACTGCCTGACGGGTGGCAAAGGACAAAAAAGCCTTTGTCCTCAGTGTCTCAACGTGGCTGCTATTTCCCAGATGGACCCTTTACAGTGTGCAACCCTCTAGACCATCAGGGTCCTCAGAGCTGCCTCCTCCAGGACACAGTTCCTCTTCCACAACACCCCCCTGGCTCCCCCTCCAACTTCTTTTGTTTCCTGGCCAGACTGAATATTTCTCACACTGAACTCCTGGATGAGGGAGAACAAGTCTTCACGGGTGTTCTTGAATTACAGTGAGGAGCTGTGATGGGAAAATATGACAAAGCAATTTCCTCTGTGACATACACTCTTTTTCTCCTGTCTCTCACCTTGTCACCTTTCCACATTTCTGTGCTTCCATGGTGTTTTTTTCTCTTTAAAATGATGCAATTGGATCAGCTGTTTTTAAACCCACTAGAAGGGGATGAGGAGATAGTGAAAAGGGCTCACTTCAAAAAGGGGGAGAGGGCTCCAGCCTAAGATATCAAGTGAACTGAGGGCTCCGGGGTTAAATGGCTTTAAAATCACAAGATGGGACATTTGGAGTCCCTCTGACTCCATGGTGCTGGTGTTAATATGTTCTGCTTCTGGGTTTCCACCTGCTCAACCAAATATCACTAAAGGTTTGCACCAGACTCTTGCTTGTTAGAGTGTGCCTGTGGGCCAGGCACATGCGAGGCACTAGGCATTTGGTAGTGAACAAAACAGACCTGATGTGCACCCCTGTGGAGCTAACAAACAAGCTGGGAAGCTGGTGTTGAGAAGATCAGTACTCTGGCAATGCAAATCAGCATGCATGCAGCATGAAAGACAAGGTCATGGTTGAAGGTTGAGAAGGCCTGGCGTTTGAGAGAGGTAAGAGATGCTTTCTGTCTAAAGCATCTCCTCCACCAGCCTGGCTTGCCACTTGCCACTAGATAGAATATCTCATCATTGCTAAGTCATTGAAGGTTTCCATTAAAAATAGACCTCTTCTACTTGACAGGGGAAGCTCAAGAACACAGAGTACAGAGTAGCTGATGGATTTAGCTTGCTGTTACTGCAGAAAATCAAGAGGACAGAATTGAGGGAACAGACTGAAAGCTTTATATGGGCAAGGGTGTGAAGGTTTACACTGATATGCCTGGAGGGGCATGAGAGGCTTGGAGAGGCAGAGACCCATTGGTGGCCACACCAATGACTTCCTTATTTCACGGTTGTATCTGGAGCTTGCCTTCATTGCTCTTCCCCATCCCTTACTGAGTTTCATATGTTATACACAGTATATGTAAATATTGACCCATTGCTAAATCTTATTTCTGTGGCTATTCCTTTGCCTCTGCATAGCTCTTTCTCTTTGTAAATTTTCTAAAGAGAAAAAAGGTTAAAAAACAAAGCATGTGGAGACAGTTCCATGATTCCCACTGTGGCTCAGGGCAATGCTCACTAGCATTGGCCTGTGGTGTGTCTTGACCTCTTACCTGGAGGGAGGGCCAGGGGATTAAGCAGAGGGCCAGGGGATTAAGCAGAGGGACACCCATTTATTGACTTAAAGAATTAAGACTCCTGAGGGGCACTAGATGGCAACATTTCTCCAAATCTAAACTCAGCAAAGGCAAGGACCTACTGGCAGAAGGTCAGCCCTGCATAGCTGCCAATCCGAACATTCTGTGAAATCTGAATTTGGGATAATGAGCCAACCGGAGCCAGATCTGGGAGAAGAGAAGCCTCAGCAGTTCACCGCTCAGGGTCTATGAGCCATTGGAAAGGCTCAGTGGTCTAAGTAATTACCACCACCACTACCATCAACAATACAGCTTCCACTCCTACCATCACCGCCACCGCCACTTCCTCGACTTCCATCACTACTGCAGTCAGTACAACCTCCACTATTCACATCACCATCCACACCGCCGTCACTACCATTTCCAAATCAGTCACACAGGTTGCTATTGTTTTGTTGGTGCTAAAAATGAAAATTTCATTCAGATTCATTCTGGGAGATGAGAACTAGTTAAAGATGTAGATCTAGAGATTTTCCCTTTCTTTTTCCTTGTTTCTCAACTACATGCTGCAAGTAAATTAGAAGGCTGCTGCCTGGTATAGAAACTCAGGAGAATTGCTTTAATGAAGAATGATTTGTATTTAACATATCATTTGTTAAAAATTTATTTATTTATGCATACAGAACTGGGGTACAGGCCAGACGCGCGCAGGTGTAGTGAGAGGATCCACCAGAGACAGAGTGGAGAGAAGAACAGGCCCACTGACAAAGTACACTGCTGAGGGGAGCAGCGGGCGGGTCAGGAGAGGTCTGCCACGCCATGTGGATCACCTCTGGGGCGGAGATTGAACTCATGTGGCAGTGGCGTTAGCTTCTTAGTGCTGTGCTTTAACCCCCTGCGCCCCGAGGGAGGGCCCTCCCTCCCCCTTTTTTTTTTTTTTCAAGCAGAAGACGGCATACGAGATGTGGAGCGCAGTGTGGAGTTCAGACGTGTGCTCTTCCCACCTCCGGGGCAGGCGGGGATCGAACTCATGTG